CCAGGGGGGCTACCCTGGGAAGCGTGGACAGGGGGGGGGGCGAGGGGTACCCTGGGAAGCGTGGACAGGGGGGGGGGCGAGGGGGACGGGGGGGGCGAGAGGGACGAACGACACGACGAACGACGAAAATAAAGGGTTCCGTGGCCCAGGGGGGCTACCCTGGGAAGCGTGGACAGGGGGGGGGCGAGGGGGACGAACGACACGACGAACGACGAAAATAAAGATGTCCGAGCTCTAGAGCACAGCTGTGCAAGAGAATAAAGGATTGTTACATCTTGGGGACCCCTTGGAAGCGTATTGGGAGCTGCTTGTGGGCATGGTGGGGCCGTCTTGGAGCCATCGGGCGCTGTCTGAAACGGTCTGGAGACTATCTGGGGGCGTCTTGGCGGTCTCGGGGGCCGTCTCGCAGTCATCTTCGGCCGTCTCAGAGCCACCTTGAAGAGTTTGGGAAGGCCTCAGTCGACCGTCTTGAGCCGCTCTGAGGCCCTTCTAGGGCCATTCTTGGACCACCCTGAGGTCTCAGCGGCCTCTCGCTAGCGAAAATGCGAGACCTTCAGAAACCTCTGGTGTTTCTAAGGTTTGCGAATGGTTTTGGCCTCCCAAGGGCCTCTTGAATCCTCTTGGAAACCTCAAGAGGCCGTCTCGGGGCCATCTTGAGCTGTCTGTGACCGTCCGGAGGCTAGCTGGGACCGCCTTGAAGGGCTCGAGAGCCGCCGTCTCGAAGCCATCTTGACCAGGTCCTGGAGGCCCCAGTCGACCGTCTTGGGCCGCTGTGGGGCTCCTCGTGGGCCACTTTTGGACCAGCCTGAGGCCCGAGAGGCCCCCGGGATGCGAAAAAGAGAGTTCTCGGAGATGATATGTTCTATCTCTGTTGGCTGAATGTTGTGTCCTGAGTGCCTTTCGAAGCTTCTTGGAAGCCTCTTGGGGACCTCCAGGGGCCGTCTTGGAGCCATCTTGAGCTATCTGAGACCGTCTGGAGGCCAGCTGGAGCCGTGTTGGCGGTCTCTAGGGCCGTATCGAAGCTATCTTCGGCCGTATCGGAGCCGTCTTGAAGGGTCTTGGGGGCTCCAATCGACCGTCTTGGGAGTTCCTAGGGCTCCTCGAAGCCTCAGAGACCCTTCGGAAGCGACGAGGCGAGATCTTGCAAAACAATGATTTTCAATGAGAAGTGAAAGACTTTAGCTTCAAGGGTGCCGTTTGGGAGCATACTGTGAGCCTCTTGGGGGCCTCCTGGGGCCCAATTTCTCGGGCGGTCTAGAGGCCATCTAGTGCGGCCTGGGAGGGCTCCTGGGCCGTCTTGGGGCCCTCTGGGGCCGACTGGGCGGCACCGTGGAGGGTCCCCCTGGGACCTGGTCCACACATGAGGGTTGGGGCACCTGGTTTTGGCCCCGGGAGCGCCTACGACGTGCTCCATGTATGTCTGTATGTCTATATGTACGTATGATTGCATGTATGTACGTTTGTAAGTAAGTATGTATGTATGCATGTGTGTATGTATATGTGTATGTATGTATGTATGTGTGTATGTATGTATGTATGTGTGTGTATGTATGGCTGCGCATCTGTATATATGTATACATACATGTATGTGTATGCGTATGCATGCATGCATATAGTCATGCATGTATGTATGTATGCTTGTGTATGGACGCATGCAAGTAATTAAGTTAAAACGTACATCTGTGCGCAAGTAAGTAAGTACGCGAACAATTAAGTAAGCAAGCCAATACGAACATATGTAAGCAAGCACATACGGTAATACGTAAGTACGTGTGTATGCATGTATGCGTATGTATGTATGCATGTACCTATGTTTCTATATGATTAGGTAATATGTATGTATGTATGTATGTATGTATGTATGTATGTATGTATGTATGTATGTATGTATGTTTGTGTATGTTTGTATGTACGTATGTATGTGTGTATGTATGTATATAAGTATGGTTGTATGCATGTATGCATATGTGTGTTTGCATGTATGTAGTTATGCATGTATGTATATATGATAAAGGTGTACATACAGAGGGCGCGCCGCTGGATCTCCCAAAGGGGGGGGGGGACCCTCCCCCCCCCCTTCCTCGATCCGTCGTCGGGGACCCCCCCCCCCACCCCCCCCCTTCCGGTCCGTCGGGGAAACCCCCCTCCCCCCCTTTCCTGGTCCGTCGTCGGGGAACCCCTCCCCCTCCCCCCCTTTCAAAAGGGGGGGGGGGGCCTTTGGCCGCACCCCCCCCCCCCCCTTTCGCCACGCCGCCCCCTGACTCCGGAACCCGACCCCCGCCACCCTACCCCTAGTCCTCACCCTAACCCAAACCCCGAATCCGAACCCCAACCACTAACCCCAGCCCCAAAGAGTACTCACTACTCATTACTCACTACCCACTACTGACTACTCGCTATTCGCTACTCACTTCTCACTACCCCCTACTCACTACTCACGACTCACTACTCACTATCCACTACTCACTACCCACCACCCACTACTCGCTACTCACTACTCCCTACTCACTACTCCCTACTCACTACTCCCCCCTCCCTACTCACTACTCACTACTCACTCCTCACTACCCACTACTCAATACTCATTACTCACTAATCACTATTCACTACCCCCTACTCACTACCCACAAATCACTACTCATTGCCCACTACCCACTATCCACTACCCACTACTACGCATTACTCATTGCCCACAAATCAGTATTCACTACCCACTACTCGCTACTATCTACTCCTTACACAATACTGACTACACAATACTCGATACTCACTACTCGCTACTCCCATACTCGCCACTCAATACTCACTACTCACTCCCCGCTACTCGCTACTCACTACTCCCTAGTCACTAGTCACTAAATAGTTCACTACCCACTATTCGCTACCCACTTCTTACTATTCACTGCTCAATATTCCCTACTCCCTACTCCCTACTCACTACTCGCTACCCCCTACTCGTTACTCACTATATCACTACCCACTACTCACTACTGACTACTCTCTACGCACGACTCACTACTCACTACGCCCTACTCGCTCCTCAGTACTCACTACTCGCTACCCCCTACTCGCTACTCGCTACTCACTACCCACTGCCACTACCCACTACTCTCTATTCATCACTACTCACTACTCACTACTCACTACCCACTACTCACTACCCACTACTCATTACTCCCTACTCCCTACCCAGTACTCACTATTCGCTACTCGCTACTCACTACTCACTACTCACTACTCACTACTCACTACTCACTACGCACTACGCACCACCCACTACTCACTACTCACTAATCGCTACTCGCCACCCGCTTCTCACTACCCACTACTCACTACCCACTACTCAATACGCCCTACCCCCTACTCAGTACTCACTACTCGCTACTCGCTACTCACTACTCACCACTGACTACTCGCTACTCACTACTCACTACTCACTACTCCCCACTCCTTACTCCCTACTCCCTACTCGCCACTACCCACTACTCACTACTCACTACTCACTACTCACTACGCACTAACTCACTACTCACTACTCACTACTCCCTACTCCCAACCCCGTACTCCCTACACACCTTTTTCCGGCGCAGAAAGGAGAAGCGAGAGAAACCCCCCCTCCCCGGCTCCCCTTCCGGCGCAAAGGGGGGGGAGGGGGGGGGTCCGAAACCCCCCCCTCTTTCCAGTGCCAAGGGGGGGAAGGGAGGGGGGGGGGGTCGAACCTTCCCCCCCCTTTCAAAGGGGGGAGGGGAGGGGGGGGTTCGGACCCCCTCTCCCCCCCTTTAAGGGGGGGGGGGGTCGAAAATCTCCCGTCCCCTTGGAAGGAGGGGAGGGGAGAGGGGGTTCTGCAAGCACACACACCCTTTTTATGTATTCAGGGACATCCACTGGCGCGCTTTCGTACATACATTCATGCATGCATACATAGATATATACATGCATATGTTTATGTATCTGTATAAATACATACATACATACATACATACATACATACATACATACATACATACATACAGACATAGATGCATACATACATACATACATACATACATACATACATACATACATACATACATACATACATACATACATACATACATACATACATACATACATACATATATATATATGTGTACATATATACACACGTATACATTGATATACGCATATATACACACATTTCGGTGACGTTTCGGGGCCCTCCAGGGGCCCTCCGGTGCCGTTCCAGCGCTCCCTGGCGGATCTGGGGACTGGCCACCCCTCCAAGACCGCAAGGCACTTTGCGCATTTATTTGTATGGACATATATAGTTTGATAGATACACAGCTAGATCGATGCATATACGTTCGGGGTACCGCGCTGGTTTCTCGTATCGGCGCTGGAGCAAGGATCAGCGAGCAGGGCGGGCGAGCGAGCCGGGAGGCGGAGGAGGGACGACGCCCGCAGGCGAGGCGCCGTCTCCAGGGCCGCCGCGGTCGCCGCGGCGATCCCGCTCGGGCGCTGAAGGCCCAGGACGACGACGGCGAGGACGGGCGGTGACGATGGCGGCGACGACGGGCGGCAGCGACGGCGGCGACGACGGAGGCGGCAACTGGGGGCGTCCAAGAGGGGCGCGTCCAAGACGGGGGTTCGCAGACTGTGGCCCGAGGCACGTGCTCGAGCGAGGGGCGGACCAGGGGACGCTCTGAAAGAAGGAGAGGCGGCCATGGAGTCTGGAGAGACCCCGCGGTATCAGCCATGGGATCCACCCTCCCCTCCAGTCATCACCCCCCTCTTGGCCGCCCCCGGGGCGAGGACGACGTAGCAAAGCTGGCGGCGGCGGCGGCGGCGACGACGACGACGACGACGACGGCGACGACGATGACGACGGCGGCGGCGACGCCGACGGCGGCAGCGGTGACGACGGCGACGGTGGCGGCGGCGACCACGGCGACGACGACGGCGACGACGGCGGCGACGACGGCGGCAGAAGCCGGCGGCGGCGACGGGCTGCCGCGGGCAGC